CAGAAAGCTCAACACATGCAACATGTCCAAACATCCTGTGACAGGCTAAGAAGACAAATGAACTGGCTATGACACTGCAGTGGTCCTTAGGGTTTTTACAAATGACTCCTCATATGCCTCCCTGTTGCAGCATATGTCTGCGCCATGTCTAATGAGTGCTTCTGATATTAAGACTGCTCAATAACTAATGAAAGAAGAACCTTGTTCTCTTATTACGGCCCACATGTCTGACACTAAGCATTGTATTATGTATTGGAAACTGCTGCACAGTGACACTTATGAAAAGCAAGTTCAAGAAGGCATTTGATAAACTCAACAGTGTCTGTTCCTCCCTAATTTGTGCTGAGATTCTTTTCTGGTTAAGGAAGCAAAAGAGACACCTAATTAACAGAGTCCATAACAACTCCAGTCAGTGGCTGTAGTTAAGACTGGAAGGACAGGCAATTGCTTGGTGCCCCAAGCAACAAGGTGGCTCCAGAGCCAGTACTGTTGGCAGTCTCACACTTATATATATATATATATACATACATACCCTAACCTAACCCACTAATTCAAGCTGGGGAGACAGTTTTGCTTTCAGATTAAGGTGTTAAAAGATGAACTCACAGCGAGGAGATACGTTTTGCTTTTGGTTCTACTACACCGACACTGGGGGGTGCCAATAGCAACCATAAACTGCCTAGTCTCCCTTTAAAAGTGAGATTCAGTGAGTAAAAACCTTTCACCCCCCTAACAGGGTCTTACACTATCCACACTTCCTGTTTGAAAAATGTGCCTGAAAGTGAGTGTGTAGTTTGTTTGTTTGTTTTTTGGCGATAGGGGGCAGTCAATACCTAAATCGTAAGTACTTTTGTGTTGAAGTAAGACCTTACCAAGGGATGCCCATTAGGGTCAAAAAGCCCTGGGGAGTGCAAACTTTAACAAAATAACAAAGGCATCAGACTCCCTTTTATCACTGGCAACAAGTGAAGAGGTAAATGTATAAAACAACATTTAAGAATGACTAAAATGTTGTTACCGTTACAAATCAGTAAACATCTTTTGTCCTCATGGGCTCCCGTAGAAAGAAACATGGCATCTAATATGACGTCGCCCCGAGACCTAGGCCCATTCTCAATACTCGCACTTGCACCCTTGCGCCCTTCATTTGCGCGTTCCTGACCAGGGGTGCGAGTGCGTAGGATGTCCAGATTCTCAAATGCGGAAGTTGACCACGCCCCCATTGCACCCTTAATCTGCACTTCACCCAAGTCCGCAGCGATGTGGACCTCGGGCAAGTCATTGCTGTGGGAGACAAGGTTCAAGTTCCTTTTCTGAAAATATGTATTTTCTAATGAAATTAGTTCATTTTAGGATGATTATTTGATGCTCAGAATGTTTTAGAGAAAAGATCAATGAAGTTAAATTAATTTCAAATAATTGCTCTATTGTTTGAAAGTTGTTAATAAAGGTCTTAGAAAAAAGTTTGCAGCAACCAGCATCACGGCAAGCGTTGCAATCGATGAGGCAATGCTCCCTGTCTCAATTCTGTAATTATTTGCACAATTGTGTACTACGCACTCGAACCCTACTGCACACTTTCTCCAAGTGCATTGTGCTGCAGGGCGCAGTGCGAGTATTGAGATTGGGCCTTAGACCCATTCCAATGAATTTTAGACCTGATGTTTATAGTTATATGTTATGAAGCCACCAATATTTTTCAACAACTGGGCATCATTTAATTCATTTTCAACAACATTTTGATGAAAATTTCCAGAAATGAATGATAAAAACTACACATTGTCTCTTTAAAACAGTTTTTATAAGAACATGATCACATTTAGTGAACACTTTAGAATAAATAATTCAAGGTGAATTTAAATTGAATTGCACACGTGCAAAAAAAAACAAAAAAAAAAAACTAAAAAGAAATTTGCAATTAACAGCCTATTCTGCGTATTTGCCATATTAGACTGACAGTTAACTGGACTTTCTGTGGGATTTTTTCTTTTTTCTTTTAATAGACAGTGAATGTGTCATCCTCATGATCCTATCAGGCTTTTGACCTTCAACGTATCGTTCAGTATCAGACTGTCTAGGAGAGAATACATAGTGGGATGTCAGCTCCCATTTGGCCTCATTTATCAACCTGTTTAAATATTGCTCATTTTCATTTTACATCATGAACCGTACCAAAACCTCACAGCTCATTTATACATCTGATGCAACCAGGGTAGATTGTAAATGTCCTCCATGAGTTGAATACAATATGTAACATTAAATTGCTGCTCTTAATCCATCCAGCAAGAGCATAATTGAGGAGTCGAAATTGCAGCAATCAATGGACAGTTTCTTGTATTGTGCATAAAGGCTCAGAAAAAAGTCTACTTAAATACACAGAAAATCTTGCTTTATAAAGTGGAAGAAAATGGTAAAGGAAGCCGACTGCGCTGGTTAAATATAGAGCCCATAAACAGAATTGTGATTAAGGGAGTAATAGCATTTTAAGTCAGCTACAGAGCACTCTTTTAGGCAGAAAGGGCATATTTCTATAGCATCTGCTACATTAGGTTATACTTGCGCTACTTTGTGAAAAATTATAAGTTGTGAAAGTTTTCTTTTTTTCCTTTTTTTATCCTAGTTAAAAAAAATGTTTTTATTGCAATAATTAGAACTGATGCTAATCTCTTTGACAACCAATCAATTTCCCTCTGGGATTAATAAAGTATTTTTGAATTGAATTGAACAGAAATATTTAGAAGAAACATTTGAATACCATTAACCTGATAAATTAATGCAGAAATTGTGTATGATTTTTCAGAAATCCGTAAAAGTGACCAAGCTCAGTGCAATAGGAAACTGAGCGCTGACCAAAACTAACCAATAGTGTTAAACTACCGCTTAGCTCATTCGCGGGGGGTGGGGGGGTGCACGCTCTGTGCCGCAGCACTCCTCCGTGAGAGCGGGGGGAGGAGGGGAGTTTGCACCTGTTCACTGACTGTGGGTACTTGACACTGGACTTCAGGCATTTTGGCATTTCCCTCTGCCCAGTCTTCCTCCAGACTCTGGCACCTTGATTTCCGAATGACATACAAAATTTGCTTTCATCTGAAAAAAGTACTTTGGACCACTGAGCAACAGTCCAGTGCTGCTTCTCTGTAGCCCAGGTCAGGCGCTTCTGCCACTGTTTCTGGTTCAAAAGTGGCTTGACCTGGAGAATGCGGCACCTGTAGCCCATTTCCTGCGCAGGCCTGTACACGGTGGCTCTGGATGTTTCTACTCCAGATTCAGTCCACTGCTTCCGCAGGTCCCCCAAAGTCTGGAATCGGTCCTTCTCCACGATCTTCCTCGGGGTCCGGTCACCTCTTCCCGTTGTGCAGCATTTTCTGCCACACTTTTTCCTTCTCACAGCCTTCCCACTGACGTGCCTTGATACAGCACTCTGGGAACAGCCTATTCATTCAGAAATTTCTTTGAGTCTTACCCTCCTTGCTTGAGGGTGTCATTGATGGCCTTCTGGCCAGCAGTCAGGTCGGCAGTCTTACCCATGATTGCGGTTTTGAGTAATGAACCAGGCTGGGAGTTTTTAAAAGCCTCAGGAATCTTTTGCAGGTGTCAAGAGTTCATTAGTTGATTCAGGTGATTAGGTTAATAGCTCGTTTAGAGAACCTTTTCATGATATGCTAATTTTTTGAGATAGGAATTTTGGGTTTTCATAAGCTGTATGCCAAAATCATCAATATTAGAAACAATAAAAGGCTTGAACTACTTCAGTTGTGTGTAATGAATCTAATATATATGAAAGTCTAATGTTTATCAGTACATTACAGACAATAATTAAATATCACAATATGCTATTTTTTTAGAAGGACCTGTATAATTACACACATAGGATGGCTTGCCAGGCAAATTAAACACTTTTAAATAGAAATTGGCTTTATTTTGAAGTTCTCCTGACATGCCAGTTTCCACCTGCTCCTGCACATCACCAAACGTGTACAATTAGAAAGCTAGCTGCAGCATGGCAAGCGAAGAAATTGTTTTTCCACTTGGAAATGATTGTGTTAAATTGTTTCTTAACGATAGATGGATCCTAAATTAAATACAATCAAAATGGTATTGTGAATTAATTTGAAATACTGCCAAACATCGAATCGCAGGACACTGTATCAATGTATCGCATCATGATCAAACTAGTGACTTACACCCTTTAGTAGCAGTCTGACATTCAACTATGAGTGCAGAAACAAGCCAACTTATTATTTGGACACTGACCTGTTTCCCTTTATTTTCTAGAATTTCTAAAGTAAAGCTAATTATTATTGGCACCTTATAATGTGAAAATTGTGCACAAGTCTATGTGACCACTCAGGGTCAAACAGTGCAGCTTTGCACCATTTTGATTTTGCTATACACTCTATAAAATGACTGATATTTGTTTCATGTGGCTGAATATTCCCACAGTTCACCCTTTTCTTAACTCCTGGGAGATATTTCTAAAACAAAATATTCATAATGATCCATCAGTACTTTATGTGGATAGCAAAGTGGTTCTCTACAGTTATCAAGAGCTCTCATGTTGGTCATATTGGCCCTAAAAGGGCTCTGGGCAGGCAGATTGTTTCAAATTGTTTGAATTTATTGGTTATATAATGTAAGAGTTACTTAGTGAAAATGCAAGACATCAAGATTTACCCAGAGAGCATGCCTTTAACTTAGCCAAGTAAATTATTCCATAAAAATCCCATTTGATACAAATTAATAGCAAATCCTTTAGTGTAGAGCTGCAATTCTATATTGAAGTTCAACATATTCCGACTTAGATACAGTTAAAGGATAACTAATCGAAAAGCATCGATAATCCTGATCACAGGATGGTTTAAAACTTAATATTAACATCTAAAATCTCAAACTCAAATGTACAGTTCACATTTATTGATATAGACACACTGGGAGTATAAAAGCATAATACCATGAAATTTAAATGAATGAAAATGAGCTACAAAACTAACAAATGTCACCTGGAGTAGTTGAAGAGGCGACTGTCCCACATAAGGTGCTCTCCTCTGGGCGGGGAGTGGAAGAAGCAGGAGTCGGAGCCATCAAAGCGATTGAGGCCGTCCTCCGTGTTCTTGGAGGCATGGCTGTGAACCACGTCCAACAGCACCACTATGCCCATAGAATGAGCCACATCAATCAGCTGCTTTAGCTCCTCTGGGGTACCATAGCGACTACATGGACACAAAACAGATATGCAGATTAAAAAAAAACAAATCCACAAATTTGCAAAGGTTTATCACATTCAGATCCAACTCTTATTCTTATGATCGAGATTGTTGCATAACATATCTATTCTGTCACATGGACACATGGGATTGCCTCTCAACTGAGTTTTCACCCAATAGGGTTTTAAATGACACTATGAGATTAATCATGGCTGAAATTGAAATACATAAACACACAGAACTCTGGTTTACGCTCCGGTCCAAGCAGGAAAGAAGAATCTCTGAAAGGAGATAAACACTCACACTGGTCCATTTTTATCTACGGTTCCCTCTACTCTGTGGATTAACAGGAAATGTATTTACAGAGAGATTCTTGATGGTGTCAGACTGTCTAACCTTGATTTGAGGTGACTGTGTTGAAGTTGTTCACTCGGTTTGTGACAGCATGACGTTACAGACACTCCGCCTAGCAGATAAAGGGGTGTAAACGGGAAACTTGGCAACAAATACGCCTTTAAGTTATAATCCTTCATAGTTCAATCTCGGTTGATTTGTTAAGGCCTGTGGTTACTGAACCAGGTCATGGATCGCTATGGTGTCGCTGAACAAACCTGGCTGAGAGGATTTATCGCACTGCATTTATTTATTTTCAATTTTATTTCACTTTCAGTAAGAAGAGCTGAAGGAGACAGGCGACAATGTAGAGAATGTTCCTGCTTTTAAGAGCAGGCTGAAGCCTCACCTTTTTAGCTTAGCTTTTAACTTATTATTTATGATTTACTTGCTTATATTTGAAGACAGTTATGGTATTTATTTATGTTTTTATATTGCTTTACTATTTATCACAATTTATTTATTTTTAGATTACCTCTTGTTATTTTATTTATTTATATATTTTTTACCTATTCTAATACTTAACAGCGTTTCCTCTGTGGGAGCCCTCTGCCTCAGGACCGGTGGTCGGCGGCAGTGACTTGGGTGTTTTCCAGATAGCGCTTGGGTGTAGGTGGGGGCCCTCGCCCTCCCACCTCTGGGCGCCCTGTGTCGGAGCCCTGGCTGCTGCCATGGATCTGCTACTGTTGGGACAGACGGCTCCCCTTATGGCGTTTCCTTACGTTTTCTTATGTGCCTGAATCATCTGAGCTCAGCACAGGTTTCACTCATCTTCTCAAGAATGTTGTGTCTGCATGTGGGTATGTGGGTATGTGTGTGTGTGTGTGTGTATGTACGTCTATGTACGTTTCACTGGGTTGGGGGAGGGTGGTTTTAATTGTCAATGACATGTGTGGGATATGTGGAGTCTTTCTAATCTGTAAAGCACTTTGAGTTACTTTTTTGTATGAAAAGGACTTTATAAATAAAGTTTGATCGACTGAATGTTGTTCACCGTGTTAATTTCTGGATTAGTGCACAAGAGTTGTCTGCCAATGATATAAAATGTGCATATGGATGAGCTTATGTCCTATGCATGACTATACAATGCTTTTTGCAGCTGAAAAACAGCAACGTTTGAGTTTAATAGTTTTATTAGCAAACAAAATCAGGTACATTATATAATGTGAAAGTTTTAGAAAGCTGTAAACAAAATTGGTGAGGTAAGAGGCCACATCAGTCTAATCAAACAGATGCTAATGATTAGGTTTATATGCTGAATGAATCATTCGTTAACTCAAACACAAACTGCTGTAGGAGGCTTGAAACTGGGCCAGCTAAACTCTACCAGGGTAAAGTTACGGAAGAGAGTTTCATCTCACAAACCAAACACCAATAAATCAGAATGAAGTAGTTCTACAGCATCACAAAAGTCTTCCAGGCAAAGAGTCCACGGTAGGATGATGCTGTATGAAGTCTTTTGAAGAAGCACAATGAAACAAAGAATCTTAAGGGCTGTTGACCCCAAGGTTGGTCAAAATAAAACTTTACGCAGCAGATAAAAAAAAATTGTGCTTACTTTCCTTTGAAATAGAAGGATGTCCAGCTCAGAACTGTCTGAAAAGTGAGACCCAGGTCCACATGTCTACCGTTAGAAAAAGTCTGGTAAGAGGTGATCAGCATGAAACAGCTGCCAAAAAGTCTAAACCCCACCTTGGAAACGAGGTCAAAAGAATCAGTGATGAATGAAAACATAAGAACAGGGGTGCAGGAAAGTGGCAGCAGGTGTTCTGGACTGATGAGTGAACATTTGAAACATTTATCCGTGTTAAGTTTGTTTGGAGGTTGGAGGTTGGAGCAGTACAACGATGCTTCAACACTTTTGTGTTTGAGTCAGCATCTCTGCAAACTGAATTAGGAAAACATTGTAAACTAATACACAACTCACTTTTGTAAAACACCATCATGGAGGCATCTGACCTGTTCTAAATTTATTCTGCAGCAGGACAATGGCTCCATTCGTTCAACCAAGTGTGATTGAGAACCATCTGAGAATAGAGATCAAGGAGTGCTGGAAGTGATGACATAAGATTACTTTTAGCCCATTTCCATTAAAAAAGAGCCTGTGTTAGTTTGGTGCCATTACCAGTGCTTAGTGCTCATTCACTGACACGGGGCCAAGTTGGTGCATCGCCATTACATCAACCAAAGTGTCGCAACACTATTTTATACCCCCAAGAAAACAGGAAGCGCGCCAACGGAGAGAGATGAGAAGTTCACGGTGCCATTGCAAGTGCTGCTTTTGGACTTCCACGCTCTCCTTTATCTACAAAGATGTGAACGTCACATGGCTCTTGGTGCACAGTCAACATTTTATTAAAAGCCACAGAGAGTGGCAACTACATTTGCAGAGAAAGAAATATGAAACGTCCCTGTATAATGCACAAGCTTTAGTTATCCCCTTCTCACACCTTGATTGTGTCACCGTGTGGTAAGGCAAGATGGCAGTTCATATAGGAGCTGGGGCTGGGTTAGGCAATTCAGCGCCTTGGGCTTCCTGACAGGGTTGCGGAAGGCGCTTTATAAATAAAGCTTTGATTGATTGATTGATTGATTGATTGATGATGGAAATTTTTAAGGTCATGCAGGATTTTAACATCACGACTTATTACTGTTCTTAGTGCAGGCTCTTAGTTTGCAGACGAGTTCCTCATTCAGGGTTGTTTTTACAGCTGCTTGGATCCTGACAGTGTGTTGTGCTGGTAAGAAGAATCAGTAAACGGGTGCTTTGGCAGTGGAAAACAAAAGAACCTGTTCAAAGTCAGGCTCTGGCATGAAACTACTGGAGCCAACTTGGTGGAAAAGGGGATATTAAAGCAGGGATCTGGGTGAGCAGACACTGGAATAACATACCTTTAGATGTTCTTCAAAAACACCAAGTGAACTAAGATAAATGGATGCAGTTTGTGCAGGTGAAGGTTCTCAGCCATCCAGGTCACAGTAATCCAAAGGGGTTCAAATTAAGGCAACTGGAATCTTTGGTTTCTTGAAGATGTTTCGCTTCTCATCCGAGGAGCTTCGTCAATTCTGACTGGAATATGGGAGAGTCCCACACAATGGAGACTAAAGACTCATCAAGAGGTAGGGAGGAGGGGTACTCATAGGCAGTTTCTGCTTGTTAAGCAGCAAAAGACAGCTTATAAACTTGACCCTCCCATATTCCAGTCAGAATTGTAGTGATGGGATTTATGGCTATTTCATGGGTGTCGTTCATTAGTCGGTCATTTACCTCAAAGAGCCGTTCAAAAGACTGGCTCCTTGGAACGAAGTGAAGCCAAGAGAGAGAGAGAGTGTGTGTGTGTGTGTGTGTGTGGGGGGGGGGTATTAAGAACAACGTGTTCCTCCAGTGTCCGTGAGGATGCACAGTGGTTGGGTAGCGTTCCTCCGACGTCCGTCACAGCTGTGGGTGGGGGTTGGGCTTTACCGACTTCCGAGGAGGTTTGTTACTGGAAGACAAGATAAACGGCTCTCTACAGGGACTCGGCTCTCATCGTTCACTTTGAAAACCCATTCAAAAGATTTGGTTTGTTCGTGAACGTAACATCACTACCAAATTGACAAAGCTACAAGGATGAGAAGCTAAACGTCTTCAAGAAACCAAAGAAGTCCAGTTGCCTTCATTCAAACCCCTTTGGATGATGTTTAGATGGAAAACAGTCTTCACTCTTTTAGTTTAGATCAATGGTAAAATAATCAGAGCATGTGTACTTGAAAGCATTCGTATTCAACATCATTTTTCCCACCTACCCATGACATCAGTGCAGGACGGTATTTACCTTGAGGCAGCAAAAAAACTTGTAATCTGATATCCAAAGCTTGCATAGTAGGCATGTTCCATAATTGCCATCAGCTGAATGCAATTGTAACCTGGAGGAAGAGGGGACACAATGATGAAAAGTACTACAAGCAACAATATAGAGGAAGATATTAACCATAAAATTATGTTTGTTAAAAGCTGTTGTTTCACCGCATGAAACATTATTTAATATCCTGGTAATTATTTGTTATTGGGAGCAATTCATGCACAATGTGAATAACCCTATTCTCCTGCAAAAATAGATTATTTCCTCTATTTTGATACATTTTTAATGGACAGTTGCTGCTTGAATTGTATTCAAACATGTGCAGGAAGGAGGCGCCTGTTACAAAAGCAAAAGAAGTATCTGTGCAAAGACACTATTTTTGGGTGTTTATGGCAGAGTTAATTTAGCAGTGACAGAAAAGGTTCTACATTTGATTCCATTTGACCCAAGTCAGTCTTATTGCATTAATGAGCTCCAGGCGTTTCTTCTCTGACACCAGCTTTAGTACCTCCTAACAAGCTGTGGCAAAAGGGAAACACCGTCTATTACAGTTAGGAGGTCATGTTCAAAATTTTCAAAAAGACCTAGAAAAGCTGTCTCTATGAATGAGAACAACAGGCGTCTAAAGTGCCACTGAGCACTCCAGTGGGAGGCCCCAAGGTTTTCCATTGTTGTCTGAAGCAGAATTATTTATATATATTTTTCAGGCAAGAGAGAAATGAGTGGGGGGAAAAAAAGAGCAAAAACTTTGCCTCTGAAGAAGTGTGACAAAGCACTAGGGTGAGAGGAAGTTTCTACTTTTTAGATTTATATATGTGCACTCTTTTCAGTCGAGAAAATGAAATGGCAGGCAGAGTCAGCCATCACCAGAGACAGTGAAATTTAGCCTCCTGGAGAATCCTGTTGTGCAAAATCCCAGAGCTGCTGCAGGTAGATTCTTTGACAGCAGATACTCTGGCAGTTTACTTTCTGACTAAAGAAGATGATACAAGCAAGAAAACAGTATTTATCACACGTCTCCTGGTACGCTGTGCAGGTCTGATTGGTGCCTTTTAATAAAGCAACCGCATGTGCTTTATTACAAGATAAGGCTACAAGCCCTATGTGGCAGTAAGCTAGAGTTCACAATTAAATTATTTAATATTGGATTAATTTTGCAAATCAATCTCACGCTTTAGATAATACACAATTAGACACAGGAACACAAAGTGGACATTAAAGGTGCAGTATGTAAGAATATAGTGAGAATTTTAAAGTGATAAAATCCCAAAAGAGTCTAATGTTTCAGTCATTTTGGAAGGAAGGTTATACGGAGACAAATTTCATATCCAGCGGACTGCAGGGATTATCAGTTTGTCTCCTTTCAAAACAAAAGGAAGGAGGGATGTAACTACTGTTTACCATAAGTGAGTGTGGGTTTGCCATGGTTCCTGCGAGCTAAAGGTTGGTTTACGCTTGACGCGTCCGCGAGGTCCGCACGGCAAAATTGCGTCATTTTAACAACCACGCCCCTCCACCACACCTCTGCACGGCCCAAAATTTCCGCACTGCGCACCTAGGAAATTTTCTAACCATGCGGACGGTCGGACGCGGAAAAACATGGCGGACCGGCAAGAACTACTATGGCAGAGGTTCGTAAATACAGACATTTGTATGATTCAGCTCTCAGATATCACCGTGATCAACATGTTGTTAAAAATGCTGGAATGCCATGTTGTAAACAACAGTAATTTCTACTTCTACTATGGTGTAGTGTTGGATGCATGCCGTAGAGCTCCATGCTGCCCCGTTCAGTTTGGAAGAATATTGGCTCACCGCAGAGACAAGCCAAGAGACATGAACCATAAACGCTGCGAGTTGTGAAGCGCGTTCCATCCGCGAGCCGCATCACCAAGCAGAAAGTGAATGCGTTAAGCATAAACCAAGCTTAATACTGCAGCGCCAACAATTGTAATTTGACAACGGCCAGCAACAATCTCCAGAGTTGCAGGAACCAAATTTTACCACGATGTAATTTGTGTGTGTGTGTGTGTGTGTGTGTGTGTGTGTGTGCGTGTGCGTGTGCGTGTGCGTGTGCGTGTGCGTGTGTGTGTGTGTGTGTGTGTGTGTGCGTGCGTGCGTGCGTGCGTGCTCTGTCTTCTCGATCCCCAGTGAATCGTGGAGGATGGCTGCTTACACTGAGCCAGGATCCTCTGGAGGTTTCTTCCTATTAAAAGGGAGTTTTCCTCTCCACTGTCGCTAAATGCTTGCTTAGTATGAGGATTGCTGTAAAGTCACTGACACTAGTCAGTGACTTGATGCAATTTGCTGGGTTCCTTATATAGGAAACATTTTTTCTGATTGGCTTAACGAACTGACGTGAATTGGAGTGTTTATTATGTGAAGTGCCTTGAGACGACTCTTGTCGTTATTTGGTGCTATATAAATAAAAGTGAATTGAATTGAATTGAATTCAAACATTGATACGAAACAAATGCCCCCTATTTTCTGGCTGCAGTCTAAGATTTAAGGCCCCTGCATGTAAACTAGAGGATAGACCAATATATGGGCAGATATTTACAATTTTTTTGCATATCGGATTGTATACCTCCTCAGTAAAGCGGATTTAATGTCAAGCACATCCCGACAGCCCAGTGCTGCAGCAGACTTTAATATAAATTTATATTTTACGTTCTTGAATAACATCGGCTCAATAAATGCTCTAAAATAATGTTGAACTAAAATAATTGTTATATATCAGTTTTGAAAATGTAACACTTGGGCCAGTTCATTCATTTGTTTGATCAACTTTAGTTAAATGTCTGATTTCAACACTGACCACTGCACAAAATGGAGATTTAACAGTTGGTTAAAGTCAGTGTTTAATCATTTATTTGGCCTCAGACATTTTGTGAATTAACCAATGTTTTAGTGACATTGTTTTTAGTGAAACAGCTGCTGCATCACATGCACTAAATTGCCTAATTAATAGTTTATATTAAAATGTTAAGAATTATTAATAAAAAGCAAAAAAGACTGAATGCACTCTAGAAGTTGCTGGTGAAAAGGGGAACAAGGCAGATTTGGTTTGCTTTTAGCACCCCCTAGTGTACATTTATATAACCCACATCTTGGCCTATCTGTGTGTTCGTCTTCTTAACACCCTAATCTATCAGCTGAAATGTCTCCACAGCCTTCCTTAGTGTCTACAGGAGTGATTCATTACTAAATTAAACAAAGCTGTGTTCATGATCTAAAACATGCAGGAAACGTGTTGAAACCAGACTGCAGCGCCAGGTATGTCAGCTCAATTTTGTCTGAGTCCCAAAAAAATGGCCACCAGTCTGAAGTTGCAAGTGGAAAATTCTGGACACGGGGGGCGACAAGGTGGCTGGGTGGGTTGGGTAGAGATGATTATAGTTATTGAGTAAGCTACAAGCTAAAGGAGCTTTTTCCCCTCTGTTGGTTGTTTGAGTCATGATCCTACAACCTGTTTTACACAACCCTGACTGGTGGTCAGCAATCCCTTCAGGTCATGCCAATACACAATGTTGTTGACTTGCTTTTGTGCTTTTATGCAGAGGTAGTTTGACAGGTCTGCTACAGAAAAGCCTGCTCCCAGAAGACTTGTGGCACTGCAGCATCGTGGCGTGTTATGGACTATTGTTGACAAAGGCACTGGCAGCTATTTAAAAAATAAAATGGAAAAGTGGAAACTCTTGAAATGTCTATTAAAATATTGTTTTGCCACAAGCGAGTTGTCTCAGACTTGTGTACACCATTGCCCAGATGCTTTTCCTTTCTGGAACTTTTCGGTCTTCAGTGATTTGAAGGATGTTAAACTGAAAGATTGCCACAGAGACCAAAAGAAAAGAATCTCGTGGAGTGGACATTTTCGCAATTCTTACCCAAGTCTTTAATTCGAGGAAGCACATTGTGTGTGAAGTTTGTGTATGAGGCAATCTTTGGCTCTGGTGAAGCGATGCCCACATGAGCTTCATAAATTCTCAGGCTTGTGGGTTTCTTGGGCCGAGGGTGGATGTGCTGGAGAGGGAGGCAGATATGGAGAGAAATCGAGGCTGAGTGAGACACGGATGCTAAAGACACCAGAAAAATAAAGCATTTCTTCTTTAAGTGTGGGCCTCAGCACCATATTACAGCAGAGACTGAATCACTCTATGCCAGTCATTAAGTTCCTTTCATCTGTATTACACAACTTGCTTTATGGAGAGAGCAAACTTCCTGACAGCTACCAACAAGTATCTAAACCCTCTAGTCAAAGTACATGACAGAAGTACTTAAAAAAAACAAATAGGCTGCCAGAAAGAGAGCCTCTTGAGTAAAAATGGTGCAGAATTACGAATGATAAGGGAAGCAAGGTGGATGCTAATAGCCTCTTAGTGTTCTCCCTGTTCACTCTTGAGTTAAGGACATCAAGTAGCACTGAGATGCATTCAGACCCTCTCAGATCAGTAGCATCCATTAAAAGACTAAAGCAGTCGCTTTAAATATGAGATATGGTTTTTTAATTAAAATTGAATGGTTTCCCATTCACTGCAAGAGGGAAAAGTTGTGACAGACAATACACTCAAGATTTGGAAATGAGACGACTTATTTTTACAAACAGCTAAGCTGAAAACGGCCCGGGAGCCATCATAAATGGCCAAACACAACCCAATAATAAAGCAATGGAAAGAATGGTTAACACTGCCTACTCGGTCAGGACATGAATAATAAACGAACAGCTGCTGATGGTTCTATGACTACCTAAAACTAGAACCTCAGTGTACAGCCATATCTGAATCACTCAATAGGCAATAAATTGATCTATTTGGCATTTATTGAAGTCTGGATATTCCCAGTACATCCTGGAACATTTCATTTGTGCTCCGATATAATATTTTTTGTTGTTTTTCTGTCGTCCAACAATGGTGTTGGCAGTAGTACGAGATAGCATTAGCATTAGCTTGGGCTAGCATTAGCAGTAGCTCAGGTTAGCATTGTTCTGTGGTTAGTATTATCACCATATATCGCTGATGTTGAAGTCAGTTGGGACATGCAAATCAAAGGCATTGTAGCTTTTCTCAAACCGAACCATTTATCCGTGGCAATAATAACATTGCTACATAGATTTGTTGGGTACTTTTGGCACCCCAAGCTACCTATATTCAACTAAACAAGTTAAACACAGTTGGCCTAAAAAGAGCGATTTTAAAATCCACTTTGCTTTATGCCCTGGAGCGCACATATGTTGTACAATTTAAATGAAAAGTAATGATGTGTGTTTGGACCACGCCTGTCACGCACTTTGAGATTTATCAGCTTGTAAAAGTTCATATTTAACACAACTAAAAATCAGACGTCGGTATGCCGCATATCACATTAAGCTTTGATTATAGTTTCTTATTCATTTCCAAGAAATGTTCCACTCCTTTTAAAAAACCAACTAGAAGAAGCATCAGTGCTTCTACTTAGTTAAAATAGCAAGTTTTGATTAGAAAAACGACAAAACAATTCTCAAACTGAAACATTTAAACATTTAGTACGTTTAAACCTACCGAGTAAAGCTGTGGGGGATCCCAGTGAACCCAGTCATAGATGACGGATTTCTCCTCCCTGGTCACATATTTTGCCCAAGGCGAGATCCGGTACAGGCGCTCACCATCCTTGGTGTGAACTACTACCTGGGGAAATAAGATAAATGTTTTTGCAAGGACACTCGAGAAGTGATAAGAACTGGATGTAGAGAAGACACTTTTGTGATCTAATGTATAGTGAAACAACAAAAACAACTAAAATCTGCGTAATTTGATGATAAAAGAACAACAAACTAAAAAAAAGAGAGAGATTAAATAAATTAATATCTCAGATGTAAAGTAACATTAAAGATAAAAAAAGTGAAAACTTAAATGCAAAAAATAAACGATAATATAATCTAAATACTTCCATCCTCCGTGACATCTCCATGTTTTTCTCTGAATGTATGCGATTTTAAATTAAGCTCTTATTTATGCCTTCCAGCCATGAAATGCTTACATTGTAAAACTGTGCCGTTACTCCCAATCCATTACCGAGGGCGATGGTGAAGACTGTTCAACCAATAAAATGAACATTTTTTAAAAACCTATCATAAAAGGCATCTCGCTGCTGGAAAGTCTCCACTCTTCAATGCAAAACTCACAAATTAAAGCCTTAGTATTGTTCCCAGAGAACTCTGAGCATGCAGAAAGCTCCTCCACTGACCAGAAGGCTTGTTTGGGTGAACCTGAATCTGATGGTGATTATGTTGCAATATATTTTCGGAAAGGTAGCAACTCCCTTAGCCTGGCAAGCCAAACTAAATAAATACATTACTTAACTTTTCAAGGCAAGAATTTGGTCTAGTTCACTAGGCTACAACTTCCTGTCCTATCCTTTATATTGATCTGAGCAAGGGAGCAATTTAGAAAAAAATCGTCTAAACCATAATTTTATTTTATGTTTCCAACTATTTTGCAATTCAGAGTTGGAAAGGGGGGGAAATAAAAATCTGACAAGCTACTTTGTCTCCTTTGTTAAATAAGAAAGGAAAAGAAAAGCAGTGTGAAAGTTGGAAAAGCCCACCAAGAAATCAATGCGTTACCCACAGTATGTGCTCACCCTATTTTGTTCCCTGCAGAAACAGACATTAGAAGCCAAGTAAATCTGACTGCTGTTGTGAAGTAATGACCGTTCCGATGCCACCTGCCTATGAGCGAGCAGCCAGACTCCCCTCTGGGGGTTTTTCATTATGGGCAGGCCACCTAGGGGTTAGCTGCCCAATTCTCCATATGACATGCTTCATAGTTTGTAGGATTAGGAAAAGATAGTTGGATAAATGGACTGGCATAAAGCCTGTCAGAGCACTAGTTTGTCAGACAAATTGGTCAGCATTAGAGACATTAAAGTAAACTGGCTGCTGGGCAGACTGAAGGGGTGCCTGAACGGGAAAAACAACTCTGGAGATGTGCAAGAAAGAAGGCGTGGATAAAAAAGTGTTTGATCACTTATATAACACGTCAGTTCACTTTTCTGCAGTCCTCCATGGCTGAATTATATAAAGGCCCAATGTAGAATGTATACCCAGGAAAGGACAGGGCTTGTTTATGGAGAAAAATTGGGCTTCCAACAAAAGGGAGCTGAGAGGGCAGGGTGATCTCCATGAGAGTGAAAAGAGCTAGGCTTTTGCATCCATGAGGGAGAGCCGTGGAACTAATTCAAAAGTGGAGCTCACAGCAAGATGGCTATTCAGAGGCAGCAGGGGTGCACGAGGAAAGGCCAGGTGCCAGCATTTCCATCTGCTCCTTATCGTCCTTAGACTGACCTCTCCAGACAATGGGTGTTGGGCAGCGAGTACGGCGCACGGGAGTGAGCCAACGATGACCCATTCCCAAGGAGACGGTTGTACTGATGCCATCCTCTTCATGCCTGGCATTGCAGTTGTGGGTTATTTCTCATCCATGCTGAGATGGTACATAAAGAGGGAGGTGTCTCTTTTGTGTTTAACCCCGAGGAATTATTTACTGGAGCTTAAAGCCAATCCTGTATCCTGACTGTGAGCCGGTGGAGCGGACAAACGTAGCTCACGGCCCTGAGAGACACCTGCCACAGATGGGAGCTGAAACAAAGCCATCAGTTGGGCTCTTCAGGTGTGCCCGTGCTCCACTGTGCATACAATAATCCAACTTCGGCTCTGTGGTTATGACACATTGTTGACGGCAACACGCCAAGTTTCACCCGGCTCACGAGACGCCACGCATGACCTGTAATCTCTTCTAGGCCTGATGGCAACGACTGTCAGAGGCGCCACATCCAGATGACACCCAGCAAGGGCGTGAAAAGAGGCAAGAAGAGGTTCAGTTACAAACCTTTAGTTTGGTGTTATGACCCACAGCTGGAGAGTTGTCATGCTTCGGCGGGACAATCAGTTCCCATTTGCCAAACTCTTTCTTGGTGTACGGGTGGGAGAACTTGTTCCAGTTATCTACAGGTGAACAAAGAGAATAGAAATGTTATTAAATAGTTTTCTTACTACAAAAGTGTCCAATAGGGATGTCAGATATTATCAGATGGTATTGGCGTTAAGATCAAATTTCTGAAATGCCCTATAGTTTTTTTTTTCCCCCTATCAATGACAACCTTTATATACTATACACATATTATAATTAAAACTAAATACTTTAAAAGGTTCAGATAGGTTTGTTTACGTGTGTGGGTCTCCTATATCATCGACCTATAATGGCATTAGAATGTATTATCGAAAAATGTTGGCATCTGTTTTTAGTCTTGATACCACAACTTTTACAGAACATGCGCATATAGTATATATAGTACATCAAACTCTTCAGATACTTGACCTCTCGCTCAAAATGTCAAAATAAGACAGATGCAAGGTTTAGTTTTAGAGATCTTTTGGTTAGTTTAGCACACTGATCTTAGATTACATTGAAGTAATTGTCATGTTTTGCATAGATATTGTTCAGAGTAAGAGAGGAGATATGAGATGCTAGTTACCTGAAATCTTGTTTTGGGGGGGTTAGCATTTATCGGTGTCTGTTTATATCATTATCAGGAATTGAAGCCTGGGCACATGGGAGACAGTTGCGCCGTGGAAGCACCGCAGTTTTGGAAAGTAAAATGGTCACACAGGTCACGCCGTGCCGCTGAGCACTTCTTGGAAAGTCGTGTGATAGTGGCGACGCCACGCAGGACTTTAGAACAGGAGGCGGGAAGTGACTTTATTGTTTATATGTGATCAGACATGCCATTGTAGAGTTATTGTTTATCTGAACTCTGTTAGCTGGATAGGGTGACTTGACCTTGTTGCTAAACACATCTTTAATCATTATAATAATTATTATTATTATACCCAAAGCATAATAATCCACTTCATGTAATTAAAATACCTTTATAGTGAACAAAGTGATCATGTTATGATGATTATATTAAACAGTAATAAAATCAATGAATTTATTAATTATTATCTAATTATTATCATCGTGGCTTGAAGTGTCCTTCTTGGGACGGAACAGCAGATATGATGTTATGATCTTGAGCGGACATCGTGGCTCCTTGGGTTAATCTGTGGAGTCAAAAAGTACTGTTTGACCCAGCTGGGAAATGTGACCTTTGCCACACATCAGAGAGCCTTCATCACGCGACACCATTGTGTATTCAGAGACTCTAATTCATTAAAAATGGGTAAGCACACTATTTATTAGAATATTTTAAGATCAATAGCACTTTAAAGTTATCAAAATTGTGGTCAGGTTTGTGTCAGCGGTTGGGTTTGTGGCGTGAAGCCGTTCCGCATCGTAATGTATGTCGTAAAGTACTCCACAATGCTGTAAACAGCCGCGGCGCCGTGGAGCTTGAAATAGAACTGGCGCCAATCTTCAGCGCCTCGGCGCAGCACTCCTGGAGCGCTGCGACCCCCGTGTAGCCACTCACATCAACTATAATGGCTTCTTTTTAAAATGACGGTGTGGGTGCGGCGCATCTGCCTCCGGTATGCCCTAAGCTTAAGAGTTAAGATTAAATCAGATATGAGGGGAAACAAAGACAATATTGAACACTCCTTGTGTCCAGTAAATTTTGCATTTTATTTATTTCTACACTAAACACAAAAAAAGCTTAATTCACACAGATATCTTCATTACAACATTAGAAGTTTCATTTTTTATACAAAATAACCGAAGGAACCTCTAGCAGTAATAGTGCCATTAGAAGTTTGTTTTTCCAGGCTTTTTAATGTATAAAAATCAAAAACAATTAGCTTCGTCCTTATTTCTACAAGCCTGGCCACCTTTTGTGAAGCTTATAGCGGACTTAAACTCCTGTGAGTTTTCTTTCATTTCACCATAGATTTACAATAATATCATTATTTTTCTAGCTTCCTCAAACCATCTCTGCACATCCTCTGCAAGATAAGAGAGAAAACTTGTATATTTCCTTTTCACTGTGTGTGATCTTTGCACCGTCATGTGACCCTAGTGACAAAAAGTAAAGCAAGCCTCGTCATAACAGAGAAAAATGGAAAAACCTGACGTCACATTTGTAATCTGCTGGAACCGCATCACCAATTGTCACTGAATGACAGAACACAAAACATTTATTATAAAGTTACAACCTTGACCTGCCAATATAAGATGTTGTTTTCATGTTGTAATGCATTTCTGTTTGCTATTCACGAGCAGAAACAACACAAAGATAGAAACTGAATCACAGGAGATCCCCCAGAAGAGACCGAGCGCAACCCCAGCACTTTTCGCTGGCAGGCCAAGTCAAATTTATTTTCTTTTTTAAACATTTATTTACCTTTTTTTGCTTAAACTCCTCTGAAACACAGTGCATTACGCACCCAACCTGCATCATATTCATGACTAGGGCTGCTGGGCTGTTTCCACATTTGCTATGAAATTGAAATCAAATAATAAGACTGAGCCATGTCAAAATGTAATCTCTCGCAGAAATGAATGTTGCAAATGAGCTGCTGCCCAAGGTCCTGGGAAGATAATTAAAAGGGAAAAGGAAGTGGAGGAACATGGAAGGAACAGTAGAAACAGAACGAACTGGCACAAAACTGGACAAAGACCTAATGGACACATTTCCAGTTTTGCAAAGAGTATCAATCTAAGTGTACAGCTATTTTCACTAATACTCTTAAAACCATATTACTGTTGAACAGCGATAAGCGCAACACCATACTGCAGCTTCCTGAAACTAAGTTCTGTCTTCCTTAGGTGCAGCAAGTCATTTTGCAAATACACTCCATGTTCTACATGTCTGTGATGTTTGTCTTCACAAAGTTTTGTTTCCAACTAAATCCCCTATTCTGTGAGTCGTTGTCACTGCTGCGACTTACTTTTCCCCACAGTTTCAGCAAACCATCATTACATGTTAGTTGATCAAAAATTTTATGTCACCAGTGCACCAGCACAGGGGTGCCGCCTCCAAAACATTTGTGAATTATGTGAAATGAGGAAATTTGATAGTTGTCTCTGGGTTTAATCTGAATCTCTTTGAGCTTATTGGGGGGGGGGGGGTAAGTTGATCATAAATATGTGTTTTTTCTTAAAATGCAACTACTAGGTGGCCTCATTTTACGGCATTTCTTCCTTAAAGGTGCAATATGTAAGAGTGAAGTAAGGATTACATCCTGTGGTCAAATGTGGTTACTGCAATCACTTTCTCCCTGCCGTTCCGTGAGTTTCGTGGCTGTTTAAAAATCAGCGCCAGAAGATTTTAGATGACAAGCGAAGACAAGTCATACAGTAAGTTGATAAGAAGAAAAACACATCGTCATATCTGGTGTTAGCACTCTTTGGTGTTTTACAGTAGGGAGCACTTACTACACTTATTGCAGTAATATATGTCTGGGAAAATGAGGAAGTGTGGTTGTTTGCCGTCTTGTTGTTAGCTTGATGTTATAGTTCTGAACAATGAATTAAAGGAAGTAAAACGCCACGACTGACTCATTATTCACTCCACACATATATTTCACTGTAATATTGAGTTGCTGGTAATTTTATAAGTAGCTTGAGATGTTTTTAGAGCTGACTATTTGCTTCTAAATCACCGTTAGCATTATTAGCCCAATGTTAGCTCGCTTTATCTGATATTAGAGTAAAAAAATATTATGTGGCTTCTTAGATGTATAAGTAATAACTTCTGGGTCACTCCTGTTTACTGGCTTTGGTTCTTTTAACAACCCTGGAGCTTTTTGCCTGCTGGTGTCGAATTACAACTGCTGGTGCAGCAGTGTTAGCTTGCTGTAGACTCGGCAACCTCAAAAACTCACGATTGTAAACACTAACTACACCCTCTTTGGGTTTTTTGTTTTTGTTTTGAAAAGTGAAAAACTAACAACCCCCCAGCAGGCTGAGACGGAAGTGTGCTTAAACATGACCTTCCTTCCAGCATTATTAAGACCTTAGATTGTTTTGTGATTTTTTCATAATACTCAGTTTTATAACATGCATGTCTGGCACAGCAATAAATTCATTTAACGGCAGCTCATCGTGACACTCTAAAGTTGTTTTGTAGCTCTTGACTCAGTTTCATCTGCACGTCTCTGCGTGGGTGTTCCTATTTTGTGATGCCGGCATTGTTGAACAACTGTGTGTGTGTGTGTGTGCGTGCGTGCGTGCGTGTGTATTTGAACAGAAATGCAGCTCAGAAGTTGGTTCATGTGATTCAAATGCCAAAGGTCCGGGGTGTTTTGCTTTCTGACCATGACCAAAGCCAACAAGCTCTAGAAAAGCTATGTGGTGGAGCAACAAGCAGCTGTGAAGCCTTGCTGACTTAACATCAACTCAAAAGCTGTCATGGTTATGGGAGAACATGAAGAGCCTTGGTGTGTTGGTGCATGCAGCCATCTGCCAACACATTTAGTAGCTACAGATTGAACTCTTATAGGAAAAACAGAAAAAAGGTGCACAAGAAATGTGAGCAAGTAAACCTAAGAGTGGCATCTTCTATTTATCGATGAAAACAAATCAATATGAAATAATTGTGATGCATCGGGATATCGAATCGAATTGAATCGTTGACCCAAAAATCGTAATCGAATCGAAAGACAAGTGAAGATTCACACCTCTATAGAACATTACATTTTAATTTAAAATATCAATGAAAGCTTATCTTTTAAGAGTTCTTTCAACCTGAGTGTTCAAGCCAAAGGTTTTCAGACCGTTTGCTGTAGTCACACTTTTTTCTCTTCAAAATTATGGCAACAAGATTTTCAAAATCTTTAGGGGAAAAAAAGATGTTTTTCCCCAGGATGTTTAAGAATTTTTACATTATTTTCACTCCTCCCCCAATCTCCCAAATTAATAAATAAATAAAAGATCTAAAAAAAGGTCCAAACCCATTTATTCAAGCTCTGCCCCAAGCCACGCTTCCATACTACAGCAGAATGCCAGACTAAATAGATACGATCAAACAACTATGAAATGTAACGTTATTTTACCTTGTTGACGTGTTAGTGTTGGTCCTACAGTGGCTCAGGCGTGGCTCTGCGCCACGGCCTAAATTCTAGCGTCACTCATATGAGATTCCCCCCTCTCTCACGGACGACACGCGGCTGTGTAAGAGTTCGCATGCAACCCCCCACAGCACGGTCGACGCACAGCAGCGAAATGCATACATTTATAATCTTTATGAACAATATAAAAATGTGTGTTTTAGTTAGTTTTGTCTAAACTAGAATGCATTACATAATGTACATCATTATTTGTAACCTCCTAACGTGGTTGAGCACCTGATAAAAAATTTAATAATTGTTTTTTCTCTCACAGTTTTCATTAATAACAGCAAAAACAACAAGAACAAAAAACTAACATTCAAAAGTTTATTGACCTAAAATAACTTTAAATGTTATGACCTGAGGGACTGGAGATTTCAGAGAAAACATGGAGGCTGCACTCTTTCAACACATTTTCAGGCTATGATGAAATAACCAGTCACTAAAATATTAACAAATGTTCCCACATTCAAAAGATCAGCCGTTAGTATGCAAGTTTATCCCGTGTAATCAATATCCTGCACATTTCTCAGTCCCATTTGGGTTTTTGTAATAAATTGGTAAGCTTGCACTGAAAATGATGTTTTTCTCCTATTTTTACCCATTTCTGAGTTCAGGGGCTGAAAGTTCTAACTAAAATGATCCATGTCGACGTGCAACTCATCTAATATTTTTAATTGGTCCAGACCCTTGGTGCAACTTGACATTAAGGCACCATATTACTGTTTTTATTAATTTTATTTAATTTTGGAGAGCTGGATGTTGACTTTAAAACCTGAATGAGCTTATTTTAAAACACAAGGGCCAAGACAACAATCCTAGCATAAAACCCAATAGTTTATTATATTTATTTACTTTATTAAATTAATGAACCAATAAAAACAAACCCATGAGCACTGCTTCACCTTTTGAAACACAAGCCTAAAATTGAAGGATATGCAATGTATTACCACTTATAAACTCAGAACACCTAGAGAAAATAACCTGCTTTTGTACACACACACACACACACACACACACACACACACACACACACACACACACACACACACACACACACACACACACACACACACACACACACACACACACACACACACACACACACACACACACGCACACACACGCACACACACACACACGCACACACGCACACTACTTACTGAACTCCCCAGTAAGGAAGAGGGCCTCTGCGGCGGGAGCCCATTCCTTAAAGAACAGGCTGTTGTCAGACTGCCGATGCACACCGAAGGAGCGGTAGCTGCGTGTGAATTGGTCAAAGCCTCCCTCTGCCTCTTCCAGAATGGAAAGCTGCTTCTTTAGCAGCTCATACCTTTGAACCAATGAGAAGATATGAAAAATGAAGCGTTAACCACTAGATCTTCTGTTTTTTTCCTGCTATACTTTAAACTGATCTGTAGCTGCTTTCCCTCATTCTAAACTGAGGTTAGTTGAGGTTTTTTGTGGACACACCATTGCTAAAAAACAGTAAGTCCAGAATCTAAAGAGCTAATCACATCACGTTTACTTTACTGTAATCAAATGATGGGTCAAGTGTTGTTTGTATTTGTTGTTTTTTTTACACATTTTGTAAAAACAGAAAATATCATGCTGATTTCCACATAATACACATGTGCACACACAGAAAATATATTTAAATATAGAAATAAAAATCAAGTGAAATACATTAATAGTGGCCAACTTTAACTAGTCTGAATCTTGTTTTTATTTCTTAGATAAAGATAGAAATTCTGTTGTTTTAGTCACAATACAATGGAAGTATTTTACACAGGATATAACATTTCATTAAATTATCCCTGTGCAAAAAATTCAAATAGTAAATGATAAAAGAGTATACTTAAGGAAATTACTTTAAATAATTATGAAAGAAAACGTACTTGAGTAAATGGTAAAGAGAAACATGACACCGTGTAAAAAGATTAAAACGGATGAATTCCCTGTATTTTGTCATCTCTCACCATAATAACAAAATTAATAATTTGTGATTTTAAGCAGGCCTTGAAAAGAATTTCTCTCATCCATGTTTCACAAACCTTTTCAAAAGCACTTGGCTACATGCAGATCTTGGTGTCTCATCCCATTTAATCTGCTCTGTTATCATCGTTTGAAGGTCCTTCCTCAGATGAAAACCTGCCTGACTACTTTAAGAATGTGTGACTACCGGCATTTCCTAAATGATAAAGGTCTGTCAATTTCCTTAAACGGCTAAAGACAGTCCAACTATGTGACAATTCATCTCACTGTGGCTCCTGCAGCCAAGCCGGTGTCCATATCAGATTCCCTGGGTATGGCGAGCCTTCTCCCTGCCAGGACAGCTAAGTGCACTCTCTCCCCTGTAGCCCTGAACCAAAGCTCTGACTAGCCTATGAATGCCCTGGAGTTACCGATAAGGAAATGAAAGAAGAAAAAAAAAGAAAGAAAAACGCATGTTTTCTCGGCAGCTGCTCCCTGTTTTTCGGACACAGATAGTAACCGTCAAAAGGAAACCCTTTAAAGTCCAACTGATCATGCACCATTTTTCACTTTGACACAAATTCGAGAATAAGCTCAAACGAAGGACAAAAGGAGCATTCACATAAGGGCAGAGCTTCAATGAATCAATTTAAACCCATTAAATCATGTCTATGGTTATAAATGAGTTCCAGTCAGTCGACCCAGAATCCAACTCTGTATGGATGCAGTGTTCTCGTAACAGTTTCTGCTTCAGATTAAAGAACGATGAGGGCAGATCACAAATCACAAAAGGTATAAACACTGAATTTCACGGCATGTTACCCATCTTTTCTCACTGGGACCGGTATTTTATGTCTAAAGCTTTCTAGCATCTCACTTGGTTACAAAAAATTAGAGGCCGACCGATATGGGTTTCTTTAAGACTGATGCCGATACACATTTTTTATTTCTTAACAGAATTTGATTCAGAAAAGAGTCAGGTTTATAAAAGTAAGAATTTATTTTACAAACAATTAAAACATGACTAGTTAACTAAGCATTTGCTGTGAGTGGATGGAACTAAATGTGATGAATAAACCTAGGTTTCAATGCGGTGTTAGTCAGAACCTCCTTATTTAGGAAAGCTGAGTTCTGGATGTAAAAGAATTTGGGTTGCATAAACTATGAAGTTCTTATCAAAGACACATCAGACGCAATCTGTCATGTCTACTTCACCCATTCTCGGAGACCCTCGTGATAGATCCGGAATGTCAAAGTCATCGGATTTCCAGGCGCCGAGGTCCGTAGAAGAAACTGCGGCCCCCACGAAACCGGTCTTAAGAGTTGTCTCTAGGTCACAACAGAGGATGGAACCGTGCGTCTGGCAGACTCTTAAGGAGCCTAAGCAATATCAGTTTGTTTTGCAGGAACTGATGTTCATCAGCTTCGAAGGTGCAAAAAGGTTTTGACGACGTGTCAAAATCTTTGACGGGTTAAAGAGGTGTGCTTCAGCTGGCCGGTCTGAAGCTTTTTCTAGAACTGTCGAATCACACAGAGTGATCCAGTTTTAAGGTTTTGATGTTATGATTTGCACAGCCAACCAAAGGCTGACAGGCTTGAGAGATGTTACCAAGACAACTCAGAAACGTGCCTTCTTTGACCGGATGTTCTGACTGGGTAAAAGACTATTTATGTGTCAGAGTCTAACGTAACCTTACTTGTTATGGTGCGAGTACAAATGTTATGACCTTTGCCATATAAACCTGCGGAACCACATTGCAGTAATTGTAGACATAACATTAATTTCAAATTTCAATCATTGAGCACAGATTAATGAAGCATTTCATTATAATATAATTATTATAAGTACCAATAAACAAACGTTTATTTAATGATTATAAGTCATGGAAGAAGTTCATATTGATTTAGGAAATCATTCTTGAATTTAGCGACTGATCAGACCTGGAGTGTTCCTTATGTGGAAGCCTTGGGAAAGAAAGTTATTGTAGACATGTCGTTATCGGTTGTCAGAGCTGCAGAGTCTGTGAGCTCCATCTGGTATGAAGGCAGGCTCATTTAAAGGGAACACATGCAGACTTGGGTCTCCTGTTTGACCAGATGTTGAAAGGTCAAACTGTACCTAAAACTGACCATTGCTGGACGTTACACCAGAAAGGATTCTTATCCTCTCCTCGTATAGATGGTGCATTGGGCAGCCTTGTACATGCACATTGGTTCTCGACTTTAGATTTAGCCAACGGGTATTGGCAAGTAGAGGTGGAGCCGAAAGATCGCTCTAAAGCTTGGTTTATGCTTGACGCATTCACTTTCCGAGCGGTGATGCGGCTCGCGGCTGGAACGCGCTTCACAACCATCCCAACTCGCAGCGTTTATGGTTTGTGCGGCTCGTGTCTGCGGTGAGCCAATATTCTCCCAAACTGAACGGGGCAGCATGGAGCTCTACAGCATGCATCCAACACTACACCATAATAGAAGTAGAAATCACTGTTTACAACATGGTATTTCAGCATTTTTTACAGCGTTCTCGTCTTTTCCGACAGTGCGAGCTATTTCTCTCCAAGAATTATTAACAACATGTTGATCACGGTGATCTCTGAGAGCTGGATCATACAAATGTCTGTATTTACGAACCTCTGCCGTGCCGGTCCGCCATGTTTTTCCGCGTCCGACCGTCCGCGTGGTTAGAAATTTTCCGAGGTGCGCGTTGCGGAAATCTTGGGCCGTGCGGAGACGCGGTGGAGGGGCGTGGTTGTTAAAATTACGCAAAATGACGCAACTTTTCCACGCGGAGCCGTGCGGACCTCGCGGACGCGTCAAGCATAAACCAACCTTAAGACAGCGTTTGTTACTCGTCAGGGGCTTTTTGAATTCAATGTATTGAGTTTTGGACTATGCAATGCCCCGGGTACCTTCCAACTAGGGCTGGGCAATATGGCAAAAATAGAATATCACGATTTTTCCAATATTTTATCACGATTTCGATTTTATCACGATTTTTTATCCATGAATAGCATAACTTCAATTGCGTATTAAAGAAGAGAAACATTGAATAAATAAACATTTATTCATATTAGGGATAATCAACACAGTGCTAACACACTTATATTTTAAACTCACACCAGAGATGATAAAAGCCCTGAGAGAAACAATTACAAAAATACGTTTTTCTCGTTTTTCTAGTAACTTAACATGAATTAAAATTATAAACATATTTAAAGTGCAAACATGTCAATTGCAAATGTATTGTGCAAACATTAACTTGTTGAAAATACTATGTAGCTCCCAGTTGTTCATGTAGTGGATAGTTAAGCTCAAATACGGCTCTGATGTGCGGCTGGACCAGAGATCGCTTGTGGTAGCAAAAAACTGCGCATTCTGAATATTTTCTGCAACTCTTATTTTGCATTCAGCGTACATGCGTGGAATGGCGGTGTTCGAAAAATACTTGCAGCTGAAAACTCGTAGCACGGATCCAATGCTTTTATCATGTTCCTACTGTTCGCACGGGACACAAATCTATAACCAAGTGGTACGTCACTGCATCTGTCACGCTGTTCCATCGTCTGCTGTCTCTGTCGTAAGGAGTGAGTTTTGTGAGTGTTTCTGTTAGCGTTTGTTGCCTGGAAGAAGCACTAGCCGCTGCAGCCGCAGCTGCCAGCTGGCTCTCATTGTATTGTTTGGGATGCCTTCTTTTCAAGTGATTAAACAAGTTTGTGGTGTTGCCATCACTTGCCTTGACGCTCTCCTTCCAAATGACGTTTCGCTGCTCTTTGTCGTCTGGTGAAAAACCAAACCAGTTCCATATAATGGACGAGGCGTTCCTCTTCGGAACGAAAACCTCGTTGTCGCTCTCAGCCGCGGCCGAAGCCATGTTTGTTCACACACAGGTGAAAACAAGTGGGGCACTAATATATTACTATGACTCACTCTGATTGGTTAAGGGTCAAACAAAGGTGTGTCATTCGCCTGAGGTAAGTTTCCTTTTCATTCAGAGGCAGAATTTCAACAGCAGTGCTGTGAATCGTGATAAAAAGGTCTCTCAAAAATGACAGACCGTCAGATGTGTAGATCGTAAAACGGTCTAAAATCGTCATATCGCCCAGCCCTACTTCCAACGTTTGATGGATTTGATCCTGGCCGATTTGCAGTGGAAAACATGCCTGGTCTATTTAGATGACATCACTGTGTTTGGGCGGGACTTTCAGGAACATCTAGTGCGCCTTGATCAGGTGTTGGAGAAGGTAAAACAGGCTAACCTTAAGGTTGAAGCCTCCAAGTGTAATTTGTTTGCTACACAAGTCTATTATTTAGGCCATGTGATTTCAGCAGATGGGGTAATGCCAGATCCTGCCAAGGTTG